TATCCACAGTTCTTTCGGTTTTTATAAATTATATCACATTTAGCATCAACCTACCAAGAGTTAGAATGGGAGAAGGAAAAATAAATAATGTTTTTGTTCATAATTGCTATCCAACAACAAAATAGGTTGTAATTCATGTGGAAACCACTTGGACTATTTGATGGAGGATACAAAAATCTTTTGTAAAACGCAGCAATAAAGTTATCGATTTGCCAGATTGATAGTTTGCATGAAAACATTTTTCCAACTTTTAAAAGGTGGAGAAAGTCAAGAAGTTTAGGAAGAAAAATCCAGCATACAGCTGAAGAAGTTGCAGAAGGCTCCTCCACCAAAGGTGGACAAGGGAGCAGTGTTTTATAGAATTTCCATGATGTAGTACCTGCTTTCAGCCATGCTGTGGCACTGTAGACAATATATCCCATTGGCTTCAAGAATGCAAGGTACATGAATACAAATAAGTGGCAAATGATGAAATCAAAGCGTAATGGCAGTGATATACATTAATTTTAAAGTGCAGTCACTCTCTGATTTAGCTGCTGTCGTTGCTTATTTAAACACCAAGTGCCACAAATAGTAAACAAACGAAATTAGCAGATATAAACAAAATTTGTTGGAGACACTCAGCACATCTGACAGCATCTGTGGAAAAAAAGCAGAGTTAACACTTCAAGTTTGGTGACTTTTCATCAGAACTGCTCTGTTTGAAGATTTGAAGACAGGACTAGCTTTCAATTTCATCATATTGCACACAGAGAGTGAATGCACATAAATAAAACCAAAGTACTGCGCCTGCTGGAGATTTGAAATAAAAACAGGAAGCACTGGATAAACTCTGTTGGTCTGGCAGCATCTGTAGAGAGAGAAAGCTTTAACATTTCAATCCAAGTGACTCTTTTTTGTCGTCCAAAGAAGAATCATATCAGACCTGAAACATTCATTCTATTTCCAACTTCACAGATGCTGCCTGACCTGCAGAGTTTCTCCAGCACTTTGTTTCTTTTTTAACTGTATGAATTAGATGAACTTGTCAAGATATGGCTTTTGAATAAATTGCATTTTGTAAAAGGGTAAAGAATGAGAGTGCATCAAGGAGGAAGAGAGGAGGAGAACGTCATGTACTAGAATCTAGATGCAACACAACAGTGGATAAAGATTTCAGTGGTAATCGGGATGGGAATAGGTACACAAATCTTTTCTTGAGGGCCCAGACCCCTATCTCAAACTATGTGCTTTCCAGTTTTTTTTTTTTTAAAACTGGTTTCATGGACCATGTACGACCTGTAGCCAAGACACTAAGTAGGCTCCCGTCTTTTTGACCTGAAAAACATACAATGTTGAAATGTAAAAGAGCAGAAACTTGCAATGTTGTACATGCTCTCTGGATAAGCATGCCTTCTGCAGGAGTTAACGCACAGTAAGAGAACTGCAAGAGCACAGCGGTGTTGCAGTGGAAATAAAGTCAAAGCTTGGTAGTACTCTAACCCATTGCAAAACTCTCTTATGCAACCTATTAGCATTTAAATAACAAGATATTAAAGTAGAAGTCATTAATATAGCAGACTTTGGAGGTTTAAAAACCTTGGAAGGGTTCTGAGAAAGTGTTATTCAACCCAAAATGTTAACTCTGATTTCTCTCCACAGATGCTGCCAGACCTGCTGAGCTTTGAGCAATTTCTGGTTTTGTTTCAGAGTTTGATGTTTACAGTCTACTGCAAGGAATATTTGTTCAAATGGCTCCAGATACTTTATATTTTCCCCATTCCAACTTAAAATGCAATTAAACTTTAATCATGCTGCTACTATTTGTTGGCTCAGCAGGTAAATGCACTGTGGAAAATAAGTATCGATAACAAGACTTCAACTCCTGACCTTCACTCAATTAGTTCAAGCAAAAGTTGGGCTAGCTAAAGATTGAAAACAATTAGCTTCTAAGACTCACATACAACCAATACAGACAATGCACTAGAGAGCCAATGGTGTTGATGAGCAGTGCCCTCAGGAGAGAAACATGGGAAGAAAACTTACATTGTGCCACCAAGCAATTTGGAGTTCAGTGTAATGACGACTGCGCCAAACCACACGATAACAAACACCTCAGCAAACTCCGGGCCTCCTTCATGCTTATTGTCAACAGAACTCCCCTGTAACATCCTGTGAGAAACAGAACAAACCTAAATACATCCTTCAAGTTGCATCTACAATAAATATTTTTTTAAAACAGACCACAGATGTACCTAAAAGTTAATAAAAGCATGAGATCAATTTGAACAAGCTGCTGCCCCAAAAAGTCAAAAGGCATTGCAAACAAGCAACTGGACAATTATGACTGACAGAATCTGACATTAGAGTTGGATTAGCTCAGCACCCCTGAAAAGTGGAACGAGGAAGGGATCATCTGCCTCAAAAGAACACACAAGCTGGACAAAGCACATAAATGACAGTGTACTCTCACACGTGGTGTACTGTAATGGAGACAGAAACATCAACAATGGATCAGTATCTCTCCCACACACACACAGACACAAACACACAGAGACACAGTGAGAAAGGAGTAAACTGAAAAGCCAAGCACAGCGTAACACAGACTCTTACAGAAAACAAGTGAAAGCGCGCATAGGGGTTGTAGGTGGGTGGCCCCATAGTTGGTATCTGTACAATGAAGGGTTTGGAAAAGAATATTTTGGAAGTGCATTGCTTCTGAGATCCCCTGGATTTCAGAAGCAAATGTGTCATACGATGTGGCACCTAGTATTGAAGAATTGATCATTAATTCCACCCTAAAACTGCATTGAGTTACCTGATTCTCAGCAACTCTCCTATGGCTAGGAGAGTTAAAACTCTTGGGTAAAATTCTGCTCCTGAGATCAATAGCACTCTTACTAGAACATGCACACAAAAAAACCTTTCAGCAAGGATAGGTTTGGTTTGGGCTGTAACATATCAACTGTGAAATTACCACCCAATAATTAATGCCAACACTCAAACATGAGGAATGCTCAACAAAGTGAGGTACCAGATGGGCCCATGGAACTGTACTCCTTTAAAAGGGAGTAAAGAAAATTGGATGGCATTGGGGAATTTTAAAAATAAATTTTACTCATGTTTTATATTTGCACCATTCTTTGACCCTATCCAACACTATTTTTATTTAAGCTTATCTTCTACAAGGCTTACACATACAGCAATAAATTAGAGGAAAAATGCTGACCACTCAGTGGCAGATGAAAGTAATTAATCTGAAGCCTTACACCAGATATTTACTTACATTGCTAACAAAACACAGAGTATTAGAGGGCCCCATAGATCCCCTGTAATGAAAAAACATAAGAATTATTCACATAATCGTGCAAAACTAGTCTATGCCTCAGGGGGTGGTCAAGCACAGGGACCGGTTGAACCATAACCAACAGGCTAGGCAAGCAGCCAAGTGGATAGACTCAAACCAAAATCAAAATTCTATCAATTGTGTGGTACAAATTTTGTTGTAATCTCTTCTGTTATTGTGTTATCATCTGCAGTAATCTATCATACTCTGACACTACAAAAGACACTCTATCCTTTGTTCTGAGAATCAGAGAGATTTTGCTCTATCCTTTGGTTCCCTTATATATGTTCAGATAAAGGAGACTAGTAAGAGACAATCAGACGTCCAAACTGTTACTCCTATATGGCATGAATGTTACTTGCTACATGTTTGCCCAAGCCTGGATGTTGTCCAGGTGTAGCTGCACATGACCATGGGCAGCTTCAGTATTGTAGGAGTCACAAACAGTGCTGAACATGGTGCAATCATCAGCAAACATCCCCATTTCTGACCACAGGATGGAGGGAAGTTAATTGCTGAAGTATCTAAAGATGGTTGGGCCCCTGAAGAACTGCTGTGTTAGCGGGAAGCCTAGACGTATTAATGTTGGACTGTTAATCCAGAAACCCAAGTTCTGGAGACTCAAGTTTGAATCCCGCTATGGCAGACGGTGGAACTTGAATTCAATAAAATTTTGTAATTAGAGTCTAATGATTACCATGATTGCATTGTTGATCCATCTGCTTCACCAATGCAGTTAGGGACAGGATTGAACTCCAATGACCAAACCATCTTCCTTTGTGACTCAACAGCGGAGAATTTCCCCCCTAATTCACACTGACTTCAGCTTGCCCAAGAATCCTTAATGTCACATTCACACAAATGCATCTTTGATGGGCAGTTTTAAGGACAGTTATTCTTGCCTCGTCTTTTGAGTTCAGCTCTTTTGTCCCTATTTGGATGAAGGCAGGTCAGGAACTACTTGGCCCTGGCAGAAGCCAAACTGAACATCAGTTAACAGCTTGCTTCTCAGCATGTTTTGTTTGTTAGCACTGCTGATGACCCCTTCTATCATTTTGCTAAAGATCGAGAATAGACTGATTGGCAGGATGCATGCCAGTGTTGTAGACAACTTTGCATACATCACTAACAAATAAATGCATACCATCGTCAATAGAATTTCATAGCGCATAATATACCAGAACAGGCTGTTCAGTCTAACGGGTCTGTACTAGAATCATAGAATTGAAATATAGAATTCCTACAGTGTAGAAGCAGACCATTCGGCGCAAGGAGTCCACACCGACCCTCTGAAGAGCATCCCATCCAGACCCAATCCCCTACCCTATCGCCATAACCCTGCATTTCCCATGGCTAATCCACCCAGCCTGTAAATCCGCGGACACTATGGATAATTTAGCATGGCCAATCCACCTAACCTGCACATCTTTGGACTGTGGGAGGAAACCGGAGCACCCAAAGGAAACCCACGCAGTCACAGGGAAAATGTGCAAACTCCACACAGACAGTTGTCCGAGGATGGAATCGAACCTGCAAGGCAGCAGTGCTAACTATTGAGCCACCGCGGTGGCATACTGGTATAATAAAACAAAGAACTGTGGATGTTGGAGATCTGAAACAAAATAAAAGGTGTTGGAAAAATTCTGGACGTCTAGCAGCATCTCTCCACAGATTTCTGTTGTGATCTGTACTTGTGTTTGTCGATGCATCTGGGGGAGTACTGCATAAGGGCCTCTGGAAATGCTGCTTTGGAAAGACTCACTAAAAACATGAGAGAACATCCTGCATGTTTTCACTTCCATATTTTCCTTAAACTCTCTCCTTCCCACCCTATAATATTATCCCACTGTCACAAAGCATTCTGCTCCAAGATATTGCTATTGGACACTCAGGTATTGCAAAGATGCATATGTAATTCATGTCTTACAGCAATTACTTGTACAATACAGCAAACACTGACAGTTTTTAGCAAGTTTAAGCCCTCTTGAAATCAATAATTTTGAGGGCACTAGCAATGTTCCAATAACTTGTTCACTGCCGTTCTTAACTGAAATCCATACAGGCATTTTCTAGAATGGGTCACTGAAAATAATTTAAGAGGAAAACCCTATTGATTCTGTCTTGACTTCCCCTGCCTACTAGCCCATGGTCACGAAGATAAACTGTAAGCTCCTACCAGTATCTTGCCAAGATCATCCGAATCAATTTAGCCTAGGAATTAGACCTCATTGAATGACTGGACATTAAATTTACTCTCAGACATTAAGAAAATCCCTTTCTGTAAGGTATTTTCCATTCAACATATTCAGTTGTACTTACAATCTCTGAGAAGGCTGCTGCTCTTTTTAGGGTACATAACATGAACAAACTTCTTCCCAACAGCCTTCAGATCTCGTATCTGACAAACACAAAGCAAACAAAAAGAATACTTAGTTGCCAATGAATGTGTGGAATCAGACCAATATACTTAGACCAAATATAGTTATCAATGGGTAAGAACTGATTAAGATGATAAGGAGGAACTGTTTGTGGTTGTCACCTGTTTTTATGAAGAAGTAAAACACTTCAGTATATGGGAAGCACAGTTTTAAATACCTTACTGATGCAAGATGATCAGTAAATTTGACAGTTTTTATCCTACTTTACAACAATGACCCACATAACAACTTTAAAAACCAATTCCATTTCTCCAGGTTGACTCCAAAGTTATTTTCATACTGGTTTTCCTTTAGCACATTTTGAAGTAATATTAACTTCCAATGACTCAACAGTAACAAAATGGAAGTTGTACTACCTCAGTCTTTGGTAAGTGTCTCCAGCATGATTTAATGAAGTTGCTTATTCACGTCAAATCTGAGTACACAGCGCATTTTTAAACAATTTCATGAAAAATAATTGCAATTAACCATATACTCGATAGGTTAACAAAAACACACTAGTTTTGGCTAGTGATTCTTGCTATTCCATTTAAATACTGTAGTTGACAGTCACAACCTGTAAATTATTCCCATATTCCATGATTGTTGATAAATAAACCATCTAACAGTCTTCACACTCAAAGCAGAGTTCCGTTCTGCATCCTGTCCAATATGTCTGCAATATCTTTTACTGTGTCAAAAGTCAATACTTGAAATTGACACTCATTTGTTAGCTCCAACTCTTAAGCCATTAAAATGAGATACATGCAAAAGAGAAACTGTTGTTTATTTAAGCAGTAACACAAAACAAGTATAAATGCACTATCTTGCATGTGACACCTGGTCAAAAGTTACAACTTGAATTACTTTAGAGAATTTTGGGGCATGGCTGTGGGGAGGATGGGGGAAGGGAAAAGCGTATGGAAGCAAAAGAAGAAAACTATGCACTATACGTAGACTGATTAATTATTCCAGAATCATAGTCAATATCTAAAAACTTTAGATCAAATAGAGTCATAGAGTAATACAGCACGGAAACAGGCCCTTCGGCCCAAACTGGTCCATGCTGACCATGGCGCTCACTCAGCTAGTTCCAACTGCCCGCATTTGATCCATATCCCTCTAAACCCTTCTGATCCATGTACCTATCCAAATTATTTTTAAATTTTGCTATTGCATCTGCCTCAATCACTTTCTCTGGAAGCCCATTCCAAATACGGACTACTCTCTGCATGAAGAAGTTGCCCCTGAGGTCCTTCTTAAATCTATCCCCTCTCACCTTAAACCTATGCCCTCTAGTTTTCAATTCCCCAACCCTGGGAAAAGAATATATGCATTCATCCTATCTATGCCCCTCATGATTTTATACACCTCAATAAGGTCACCCTTCATTCTCCTACGGTCCAAGGAATAACGTTGTATCCTGGCCAACCTCTCTCCATAATTCAGGCCTACTAGTCCTGGCATCATCCTCGTAAATTTTCTTTGCACACTTGCCAGTTTAACTGTCTCTTTCCTATAACAGGGTGACCAAAACTGTACACAATACTCCAAGTGCGGCCTCATCAACAACTTATACAACTGTAACATAACATCCCAACTCTCGACCGATGGAGGCCAGCTTGCTAAATGCTTTCTTCACCACCCTGTCCACCTGTGACAGCACTTTCAATGAACCATGCACTTGTACTCCTAAATCCCTCTGTTCCATAACACTCCTCAAGACCTTACAATTTACTGTATAAGTCTTACCGTGGTTTGACTGTCCAAAGTGCAACACCTCATACATATCTGTATTGAATTGCACTTGCCAATCCTCAGCCCATTTCACCATCTGATCAAGATCCTTCCGTAATTTTTGAGAACCTTCTTCAATATCAACAATATTTCCTAATTTTGTATCATCTGCAAACTTACTAATCATGCCTTGTACTTTATATAAATAACAAATAACAAATAACAAAGGACCTAGCACCAAGCCCTGTGGCACACCACTAGTCACGGGCCTCCAGTCCAAGAAACAACCTTCAACCATCACCCTCTGCTTCCTACCATCGAGCCAATTTTGAATCCAATTAGCCAGCTCTCCCTGGATCCCATGCGACCTAACTTTCATGACTAGACTACTGTGTGGCACCTTGTCAAAGGCCTTACTAAAGTTTCATAGAAATTCATAGAATCCCTACAGTGTGGAAACAGGCCCTTGGGCCCAACAAGTACACACCAGAGCATCCCACCCAGACCCATCCTTCTAATCTACACATCCCTGAACACTACGGGCAATTTAGCACGGCCAACCCACCTAATCTGCACATTTTTGGATTGTGGGAGGAAACCCACACGGACACAGGGAGAATGTGCAAACTCCACACAGACAGTCACTTGAGAGTGGAACTGAACCCAGGTCCCTGGCGCTGTGAGGCAGCAGTGCTGACCTCTGAGCCACCATGCCGGCCCTAAAGTCTATATAGACAACATCCATTGCCCAACCCTGATCCATCCCCCGGTTACCTCTTTGAAAAATTCTAAAAGATTTCAGACCTGACTTTCCATGCACAAATCCAGACCTTGACTATCCAAATGTTGGTCGATCCTGCCCCTCAGCATTCTCTCCAATAACTTGCCTACCACTGATGTCAGGCTCACTGGCCTGTAGTTCCCTGGCTAGTCTTTGCTACCTTTCTTAAACGATGGAACAACATTAGCCATCTTCCAGTCTTCTGGAACTTCGCCAGTGGCTAAAGATGAAATATTTTAGGAAAAGTTATTTGTGGAAGGTTTTAGAAATGACAGCGTAACTGGGAACCTTTTAAGTTGGACATATTAGCTTCTCTTGCATGGCATGACAGAGCTTGCAATTATACACGGACATTATTTGCTGATGTTAGGGTATGATACAATAAAGGCAGTACAAGGAGTAAAGCAGGCAGTTTTGTACTAAAAAATCAGAGACAAATAACCCACAACTCTATAATTAGCCCTTGGGTGACAAACACCAAGTAGCAAAGGCAGATCTTGACAGACAGACAAGGTGAGATTTCACTACACATAAAACATGTACAGAAAGCTTCTCCTCACAATTACTCAGTTCACAAAGTTGAAATGGAATAATACTAATGCAGACCTGTAGGGTCCCAGTTTCAACTATTAGTCCATGCTGAATTGTGACGTCAATGAGAATAGTAATTGCAATTATTTAACTGGCCTTGGCAGCCATGGAACAGAATGGAGAACAAACAAAACCAGCCAGCCTATCTCTCCCTGATTTAATCCCAGTAACCACGCTAGGAAGTGTATGTTCTGGTGCCGGGTAAGTTTTCATGTTTTCCATGGTTACAGCCAGCTCATCACTAGTTGCATAAGATACTAGACACACTTAACACTATGTGGAACAGTACCCTAGCATGAATTATTGTCCTCATGAGAACATAGATTGGGGGATGTTCAACGTACTTACAATTGTCTCCTTGACAGGTTCATCCAGTGTGGAGTAGTCATCCTCCTGTGACTGAGAACTGACTGGAACTGTAATTTGTCCCTCAACAGGGACATCATTTGATATCGACACATCAGCCAAGTCTGAAAACTACAGTGCCAAAAAGACATTAGATTATCTGGTCATTATTTATTTTCAACTGAGTTTTCTATTTTTCCTTCTCCGTCACCCACAGCCCCATCTCCCAATCTCTACAGCAGCATAGGTCCTAGCACATTATCTGTTCCCAATCCTCCAATGATACCTCTCTAAAGAAGCACATTAAGCCACGATGCACATCCCAACCTTCACTCTGCTCGATCCAGTCTCATTCACATTGGACATGTTGAGACTTCAGTATTCTATAGCATTTTTCTCTATTTTGGGCTTATAGTTAGATTTAAAAATATGATCTACAATGAGAATTTTCTTTATCTTCACATAAATGACACTTGTAAATTGCAAGAGCCTAACAAAAAGACGATGTGCTCAAGGCAGGTAAACAAGAACTGGATGGCAGCATTGTACCGGCAGTTCCAATTCTTTAGTTGCTCAGTTAGACCAGCCAGTTCAAGACTGCCATTGTAATGATCCTAGCTGATGGTAATATTGTGCTAAACAGAAGAGGTTCCAAACAGAACGCACGGAGGCCAAAACACTGAATTTTTCAAGAAGGAGTTAAAAATATTTCTTAGGTCTAAAGGCATCAAAGGATATGTAGAGAAAGGGGGAACAGGGTAATGAGTTGGATGATCAACCGTCATCATATTGAATGGCAGAACAAGCTTGAAGGGCTGAATGGCCTATTTCTATTTCCCTGCATCTATTTTCTACATATTCTATATATTGTATTCTATAATACATAAGTTATAGTATATATTCTATTCTGTACATCCTGCTTCAATTTTCTATGATTAAGTCTATACATGGGTTATGTAAACTTGAGAATCCAAGTATCCAAATAATCATGATACGCTACGAACTTTTATTCCACCTTGTTTAAGTGCTACATTTATTTGCATCCAAGTTTTTCCTCAAAGGATCAGAGGAGCCCTAGGTCAATTAAGCGAGTTCCCCTTCATTATCACTCCCAAATACAGTTTGCAAACATGTTCTCACTCTATTACTCTTAACCTCCATCCAATAACTATTACTGAATTTCAAATACATTAGAACGAAGTTAAATCTACATAGTTGTGTTACAAACTGTAAATACAACAGCACAAACATATGTTTATCTGGTTGCATCAAACAGGTGAACATCACAGCCAAGTTTGATTCTTCTGACATGAGCACTTTTCAATAGGGAAAACCGGACAGCAATAAAGCAGTATTTGCTGATTTTCCTTTACTACAAACATCCCCATCCTCAATGATAGGGATGCCCACCACAGCCATACAAAGGATAAGGCTGAAGCATTTGCAACAATCTTAACATAGAAATACCGTGTGGACGTTCCATCCTAGACCCCTCCTGAGGACCACAAACGTCATGGCAGTCTTCAGCCAATTCAGTTCACTCTGTGTGCTATATAGAAACTGCTAGGGGCACTGGATACTACAAAGGCTCTCGGCCCTGACATTCCAGCAATAGAACGACTATTTGTAGTTTTGAATTGTCATGCTTCTCGCCAAGCTGCTCCAGCACAGCTACAACACCATCTACCTGGCAAATAGATTTTCTGCTTCGCACACTGGAATTAACAAAACGCACTTTACACAATTTAGCACTTTGAACACTAGCAGTAGGGCAGAATCTGCAGGAATTGATTATGTGGAGTTGAAGGAAGTCAGTCAGGGTCCCTGATAACTATCCCATGATTCCAGCTGGAAAATGTGCGGAGAGGACAGCTGTGCTCAAGTTCTGTTCTGCTGATAGAAGAGGTTTACACATGAGTGTGACAACCCTCACAGCAACAGGCAGCACCTTCGGGGTGTGAACATGGAGGGGAAGGGGGGTATCCAGAGCTTCTCCTTCACTCTGTCAGTCCCTGGGCCCGCAGTAACACAGCGGTTGTTTCTGTAATGATTAACGCACCGCACTCACTCACCAGCGGCTGTCGAGATTCACTCTCCACCTCCGCCATCTTCAGCCCCGCTGACGTGGAGAACAAACATCTGACCTCATCCCCCGCGACAAATATCCCACTGTGGCGCACTCAATGTGCGTCACTGACGGGAGTTGCTCTTTTCACACCCCCAGTCGGTACCTTGTACTTATTGAAAATTTACAGTCTCAAAGCAGTGCTGAGACTCCTCTGTGTTACATAATAGAGTCCAGTTGCTACAGTGGCTTGAACGCTGCTTCACCTTGTCCCCTGTCTTCTCAAACATCTCCTCTGCCAAACGTTGCTTTCCCTTTCCAGCACTGATATCGCTGCGTTCTCCACTATGTCCTTTTTAAATATGATCCTCTCCGCACTTTCAATTCATCTCTTTCTAAGTATTGCCCTTCCCACATCCCCTCAATTTCCTCTTTCTGCACATCTTCACCTCTTCCGTCGCTGAACTACCTTTTATCACCGAAGTGTCGTCCTATCTTCTCCAAGTATTCCCTCACTTCCCAGTGCCCCTTCTCAGTTAGATATCAAAATATTTTAACAACCGTTAATCAAGATTGTATGGGCTGTTAACTCTCTAAGAAATATTGGAAATCTCCACATTTTGTCACAATTTCCCACTTATATGAATGACAAAATAATGACTGTAGCATAATTTGTGGCATAGTGACACTTCGCTAAACTTTCAAGGTAACTAAAACAGTCTACCACCACTATTTTTAAAGGTTGTATCGTAGAAACACAATCTCTGTGACACAAGGAGATACAGAATGTTTACCTGATATGCTACGTCACTGTTAAACAAGAGGTAACTGCCTTCTAACTATAAGGATATTTTATTTATCCAGCCTTTTGGCATTTACTAAAGTGGTGGTTACTGAATGCCAGGTGGCAGTAAAGTCATTATTGACACCAGGACTCTTCCCAAGTCCAAATTCAGCCTGGAGCTGCACTATTTAAAGCCAATGCTACCTTACCACCTTTGCCTCTATTCCTGGACTTTGCTCTTACTCTCTGATTCGCAGTTCCAGGTTCCACCAGACATACAAAAATTTAGCCTCAGTGTGCTATCTACACAAGCATAGTCAGTGACGTTATTATGCACAGAACGTAATAACATCAACTACATATATAGACACATTCTAGTTTAGGAATATCTCGCCAGTAACTGACATTATTGTACCTGTTTTCACATGTGCAGGTGGCTACTTTGATGGCCACCTTTGCGTTTGAGCCAATGACTCAATTTTGCCTTAAATGATCAGCCTTTAGCACTCAGTTTCTTTTACTAAGACCATCTCTCTAACATCGTGGCATTTTACTCAGCATTTTTTTTAACCCGTAGACCAAACTTTTCCAATTCCAACACACTACAGGCTGGCCACCCGCACTCTACCTTCAACACATTTGAAGTTCCGGTATCCCTATTTGCCCCAAATCCTATACATTCATCATCTGTCTGCTCAATTGTGTACATTGGCTCACTGTTAAATAATAGCTTGGTTTTAACATTCTCATCCTTGTTTTTAAATCCCTCTATGACTACCCATAACCTTTTCTATTTCTATAACCTCCTCCAATCACGTATGTTTTGTCACTTGAGCATTGCCTATTTTAATTGCTCCACTATTGGTGTCATGTCTTCAGCTTCCTGGGCACTGAACTCTGGAATTACTTTCCTAAACATTATTCCTCCCTATCTATATTTTCCTTGAAGCTGTTCCTTAAAACTTTTTGAGCAAGTGTTTGAGCATTAAGTTTCCTCTAATTTTCATGCCTGTTATTCAGTATCAATTTTTACTTTATGTAAAATGCCTTGGAATGCTTTAACATGTTAAAGGCACCATTTAACTGTACAGCATAACTTGGTCTGCCGTGTTTGAACGTGAGATATGGCGGTATTGGTGCTTACTTTCTCCATTTTGCTTTTAGGGTATGAGAAGGCAGGAGCATGCCTTTCAGGTAAAAAAAAGAATCAGCCATGATCATACTGAATGGTGTATCGCGCTCAATGCGTACAATGGTCTGCCCCGGTACTATTCTGTATGTTACTACCTGGAGTCAAGTGGCTTATCTAGAAAATAAAAGTGACGAATTCAGAGATAAATAAAATTAGAAAAGGCAAAAAAGTTAAAGAAAGGATAAGTATTATGATCTTTATGTGGAACTAAATATGTATATTCAGAATAATGGTGAGTGCTATCCACTGGCCTCCTACTGACATGTTTAAATATAAAATTTACAATATTTTAGTTAGGAAAGGTTCTTTTTCTTGATTGTGAACCTGGAAGACCGAAATAGAAACTGTTCCATTCCTCACCGTTCACTCCAGTCAGGAGAAAATTCATGAACATCAGAAACATTAATAATTTGGCTGGTAACATGCGTGAACAAGTATTTCAAAGAACTCCAATTTCTGAAAGTAATGTGATTTCAACGTAATGTAATCCAATGTTATTCGATTTTGACAGTTTTCATGTCTATTTTATATTAAGAACACTCTATCTAGGTGGCGGCGAGGGGACTACAAGTAGTTGTAGCGGCTGTAGATTTTCTGTGAAAACCAGAGCTACTAAAGAACTGTATGCATTGCGTGGTTGTTTGTCAAATGATTGCATCAATTCACAGCACTACACGTGGTGATTTATTTTGATCCAGCTACGTTCATGGTATTTACTGAAGCATTTCTTCTTCAACAAACGTCGTAAAATATACATTAAATATCCCCTGAATAAGGTAACCTCCTACTTAAAATCTATCATTTTGTTCAGACGTCGCTGCAATCACGTGATGTAATACATCGTCAACCAATGAAATCGTTCTCAGCGATTTATTTGTTTAAATTAATAAATTTTCTGTCGATAATATCCAAACGTTTGACATAATCCTGAAATAGTTTAAAATTTGCATTATCATAAAATTAACGTGGCACTATTAGCATGTCGCTCAAGTCACCCTAAACCTGAAGTAGTTCAGTTTATGTAGACTTTATAAGGCTCTGGCTGCGCATACTCTATTCCGGTTGTGGGGTGAAGCTCACTTTAGAGGTCACGTGCTGAGTGCATTATCACTCCTCATGCCCTTGGGGAAGGTCTGAGACAAGAGCCAATCACTACCCTTGCAGGGTATCACCTGATTCAGGTGAAGAAGTCACCAGGCATCTGGTCTGGGCAGTAGCAGAAAGCAGGAGAAGCAGTTCCAAGACAAACTTGGATGTTGTGGATGCAGCTTCTACCCAGAATGGGAAGGGCTTCTGGCTGGCCATGTGAGTTCAATGTGTGAGATGAATCAAACAAGATTCACAACCCAATTCAGACTACTCTCACCCCACACAATTTTTATTCAACAGACATGAAAAAAATGTTATGCACTTATGAAAAAAGTGTTCTGTATTGGAGGCAGGAAATGATGCCGGGTGAGATGGTTGTGATGCTGACTATACTTTTCTGACAGGTTCTTGTCTTGAACAGAGATTGCACTATATCAAAGCTAAGTACTGATTTCAATATGTAAATACAAAATATGTATCAAGTATGTATTCGATACAATTTCTTTCCCTTAATGGTCCTTCATTTATTCTATTTTGTTTCCTTCTCCAGATGGTAACATGGCTGGTAGGTGTAAGCATGGTAAGTCAGGAGATAGAATGTTCAAGACATCTTATTTTGTGAAACAGTATGTAAATATAAATTCTTCTGGAATAGTGTCCAGTCACCAGAGATCCTAATTCTATACTGGTATAAGATATGAGATGTTTGAGAACTTTTAAGCAAATGACAGGCACATCAAATTAATCCAGAGTTGCAAATTGAATTTCTTTCTTCAAACCTCCTCTTGGCTAAGAATACCATAGATAAAAACCGAAAAAACTATGGATGCTGTAAATCAGGAACAAAAACAGAGGTTGCTGGAAAAGTTTAGCAGGTCTGGCAGCATCTGTGAAGAAAAATCAAAGTTAACATTTCGTGTCTGGTGACCCTTCCTCAGAAGAAAATGTGTGTAGAAAATATTGGAAATCATTTGAGGGAATATGAGCTTAGCTAGCTGGGCCAGCATTTAATGCACAAATCCAATTGGCCTTGAAGAGGTAGTGGTGAGCTGCCTTCTTGAACTACTGTAATTCATTGGTTTAGATACATACGTAATGCTACCAGGCAGTAAGTTCCAGGATTTTGTCCCTGTGGCACTGAAGAAACAGCAATATATTTTTTAGTAAGGACGGTGAATGCCTTGGAGGAGAACTTTGGTGGTGTTCCCATGTATCCGCCGCTTTTGTCCTTCCAGATTGTAAAATAGTTGTGGATTTGGAAGGTGCTGTGATGAAGAACCTTAGTGAATTTCTGCAGTGCATCTTGTAAATGGTACACACTGCTATGTCTGAGCATCAGTGGTGAAGTGTGTGAATGTTTGTAGATGCAATGGTATTCAAGTGAGCTGCTTTGTCTTGGATTGTGTCATCCAGGCAAGCGGAGAGTATTCCTGAGTTGTACCTTGAAGACTGTTAGCAGGCTTTTGAGAGTCTGAGGTGAGATATTCACTGCTGGATTCCTATCCTCTGACATGCTCTTGTAGCCACAGTATTTATATGGCTAGTTCAGTTCAATTTCTGGTCAATGCAAACCTTCATGATGTTGATAGTGCAGGGTTTAATGCCATTGTACGTCAAGGGATAATGATAAGATTCTCTCGTTGGAGATAGTGATTGCCTAATATTTGCTCAATACATTGTAAAGGGAATAAGGCACCACAACTCTCCGGCGGGGACGCTGAGGAGCAAAGGAAATATGTCCACTTCCCAAAGAAGTGGCAGAGAAGGCCATACCACGAGACACTGGCAGACTGGTCCGAGGCCACCACCTTGGTCAGTGCAGTCCGTGATCTTCTCTGTTCCACTCACATAAGTCACATATTCTTCTCTCTGTGACGTCATATTCTATCTCTGCTCCTGCACTTACCTCTAACATTCCTACTATTGCTCACTGTGTGCCTCTCAACCTCCTACACACCAACCCTGCATAGCCTCTACATTGCCTACTCACTCCTCAGAACATCTCATTCCCATTCCACTACCACACAAGCATTAACAGCCATGCTGCCCACTTTCACTTCACTCAAGTCTCCCTTTCTCTCATTCCAGGAGAGCTGAGTCCACAATAGGGCAGGTGGAGGATTGGCTGACATTAGACCCCTCAGCCTTTAGGAATGAAAAGAGAATTTTGGCCCTTGCATACAAAGATCAGGACTGCTCCTGCAGAGATGCTGAAATATCCATGTCCCACCAACTGAATAAGTCCACTCTTCATTCTACTGCAACTCTCACAGTAATTTCAATCATTGCACAGCAATTCTAAACATTGGATGGGATGTTTCTCTCCTGTGTCTTGCAGGTACAGCTGGGACATCCTGTGGTGAAAGGGCTGAGTCTACCAGAAGCTACTTCCTCGACCACTGAGGGTGCGAGTACTGAGGTCTCAGAGGAAGCGTCAGCAAGGCTACATCCTGTAACACATACCAGCCCAGATACTTACACCTCATTAGCTTTAGAAAGTATGGGAACACCTAACTGCAACAGCTTTGCAGCTGGCAGAGAAAGAAATGTCGCAGGCTGCTGGCATTTAGAGGACTGCAGGAGCCCAGAAACCTGCTCAGCCCCAGGTAGGTGAGGA